GGGGGGGAGAGAATGAAAGACCTTGGCATATGCCACACCAGAAGGCATTGATTGGCGTGTTCTGGGATTACCCAGAAGTTCCAGTTTAAACACGATGGGGCAGTGGGCTACCGAGGCCGGATACCATTTATTTATGTTATTTCTATAAATAAACTTATGCTGGGGTTGGTTAGTGGCGCCAAAGAAACCTGGCCGCCAAAGAACAAGGTGGCTAGACACCATAAAGGTCAACACCAGCCTCAGCATGGAAGGACTCAAAGAAAAAGTGCAAGATCGGAAAACGTGGAGAGAGAGCTGGCCCATAGAACTGCCAAGAGTCGAGCACGACGACTGAATGGTTAACAACAACAACAACAATAGTCCGCCTTTCTCCGTGGGACTCAAGGCGGATTACAGAGTGAGTCCATACAATCAATAAGATGGGACAGTCAGTAAACAATGCAATAGGATTTGGGTTGCGGAACCAACCGGCAGTCTAAAAACAGAAGCGAAGCGTCGCTATTAACGTGACGCATAAATGACACAAAATCACATGAACAGAATCCAGCTTATAGCAAACCATGCGCAGTGGTAGGCCATACGGCCTAACAATTTGTCCAAGTAACTATGTGAACCGTTTAGTACAGCGAGACTCTGTTGCTTGAATAGAAGAGCCCTCTTGAAGAATTCCGTTTTGCAAAGTCTTCCGCCAGGCTTTTGGAGCTGCCACCACTACGGACATCTGATGGCCTATGATGAGAAAGCCCTGATCCCCTGGAGCCAGTTTGGTGTCGTGGCTAAGTGCGCGGACTCTAATCTGGGAGAACCGGGTTCGATTCCCCACTCCTCCACTTGCACCTGGCTGGATGACCTTGGGCAAGCCGTAGTTCTGATAAGAGCTGTCCTTGAAAAAGAGCCGTTTCTGTCAGAGCTCTCTCAGCCCCACCTGCCTCACAGGGTGTCTGTTGTGGGGAGGGGAAGGGAAAGGAGTTTGTAAGCCGCTCTGAGACACCTTTGGGTAGTGAAGGGCGGGGTATGAACCCAATCTCTTCTTCTTCTTCTTCTTCCTCCAATTACTGCCCAAACTGACCGCCCAGGATAGTTGATCAAGGAACTGACTGTATGAGGAGGAAACTAGGCACTAGCACTTTATTGAACTACTTTATCTATGGTTTTAAGAATTCTTGTTGTTTTTATATTATACTGTTTTTATGTAAGCCGCCCTGAGCCAGCCTTGGCCAGGCGTGCGGGGTAAAAATCTAACTAATAAATACAGAAATAAATGTATGCCCCGCCCTTCACTGCCCGAAGGAGTCTCAGACCGGCTGACCATCTCCTTTCCCTTCCCCTCCCCACAACAGACACCCTGTGAGGCAGGCAGGGCTGAGAGAGCTCTTTCGAGGGCTAGCCTTGAGAGAACAGCTCTGAGAAAACTGAGACTGACCCAAGGTCACACCAGAGGCTGCATGTGGAGGAGTGGGGGGAATCAAACCCGGTTCTCCCAGATTAGAGTCCACGCTCCTAACCACGACACCAAACTGGCTCTCAGAGGCCAGGAGACTGGGAGGCTTCCTGATCTACTCAAAGAGGGCGTTCCACATGTTGGGGGCCACAACGGAGAAGGCCACACGTACGGACAGTTGCTGATTTTGCAGGGCAAAGACGGCAGGCACCCAGGAAAGGAAAACACCCCTGCAGAGGAATACGTAGCCCGGTCCACCTACGCGAGGAACCAAAAGAACAAACTGGCCAACGGAAGCCCCCGGGCCTTGTCCCCTTCCCCTGGCGTCTCCCCGGAAGAGGCTCTATCCTCACCTTGGTCTCCTCGTCCAGTTTGTGCTGCAGCTCTTCGAACTTCCGCTGCAGCTCGCTGGGCTGTGGCAGGGAAGATCTCGGATCCACCGAAGGAACGGCCTTCCCCCGAGAAAGCAAGAGAAGGAAAAACAACAACGTTGGACTGGGGACTGAGGGATGTCGGTCCAGGGTTTCCAGAAATCCCGTCTCCTCTCTGAGGCTGCCAAGTCGTGTTTCAAACAAAAGGCTCTCAAGGGGGGGAAGATTTATTTATTTATAATTTGGATTTATAAATCGCTCAGTCCCTGAGTACTCAGGGCCAATGATCCCTCTAAGCTGTGGAGTCCTGTGAGCAAAAACTCTACTTTGTGAGCTACTGGCATTAAAGTTGTGAGCGAGCGATTTGGCTACTGCATAAATTAGTTTGCTCTGGAGCCATCCCTTCCTGAGCTAAGACAAAAATGTGTGAGCCGGACGCTAAAAAACTGTGAGCTAGCTCACACTAACTCAGCTTAGAGGGAACACTGCTCAGGGCTCTGAATGATGGAACGACAACAGTAAAACAGATTTAGAGTCCAGCAGCGCCTTTAAGACTGACAAAGGTTTATTCAAGGTATGAGCTTTCGTGTGCAGGGAAAACAAAAGTGTGCATGCAAAAGTGTGCCTGTACACAGAAGCTCATACCTTGAATAAACCTTTGTCGGACTTAAAGGTGCCGCTGGACTCTAAATCTGTTCTGCTGCTTTGGACCAACACGGCTGACCGTCTGGATCTCTCGTAACGGTGAAACGTGTCATCCAAACATTTCCAGCAGTTTAAAAACACATTAAAACAATACCACAGTTTACAGTATTCAGATGGCATTAACGTAACCAGTTTCAACTGTGTCCTGTAGGAGAGGAGATTTAGAATACAATCAGAGTATTATTTTTAATGGTTGAAGGTCCTTTTTTAGAGTCAGAAAATAATAAGAATGGAATGTACAGTTTGAAATTACAATCTCCCCAGCTGAAGGACGTCTTGCAGCAAAGTTTTGGGCACCACATTTTAGGAAGGACGTTGACAAGCTCGAGCGTGTCCAGAAGAGGGCGACCAGGACGGTCAGAGGGTTGGAATCCGAGTCTTATGAGGAAAGGCCGAAAGAGTTGGGTCTGTTCGGCCTGGGAAAGAGAAGGCTTAGAGGGGACATGACTGCAGTCTTCAAGTATCTGAAGGGCTGTCATGTAGAAGATGGAGCGGATCTATTCTCTCTTGCTCCGGATTGCAAGACTAGATCGAATAGGTGGAAATGACAAGGGAGTCGTTACCGGCTAAATATCAGAAGAAACTTCCTAACTGTAAGAGTAGTTGAGCAGTGGAACAGACTGCCTCGGGAGGGGGTGGGTGCTCCTTCGCTGGACGTTTCCAAGCGGAGGCTGGACAACCCTCTTTCGGGTATGTTGTAGGGCTGTCTTTCGGCTGTGCTCCTGCAGAGTGCAGGGGGTTGGACTAGATGACCTGCAAGGACCCTTCAAACTCTAACATTCTATGAAGCTTGAGTTAACAATCTTCTTGCGCCAGAGGTCCCATGACTTCGTCGGTCAGTTCTGGTTGTCGTCCCCCCACCCCACCCCGCAAGCAGCAGGTCCCGCCGTACCTACTGCCATCGAGAACCAAGCACCAGAGAACCGGGCTACCCACACCTTTCCACTGTATTGGTAGAGCTGGCCTTGGACCGTCGCCCTGTGCTAACCCTTAGAAAACACACCAGCACTTGGTGGAGGTGGGGGGACGGGACTCTTGCTGTCTACTTTGGATTTTTTAGTGAAATATGACAACCAGAATTACAGGCCAAGTACAACAGAGGTGGAACAATCACTCTCGGAACCCCGCCTAACCTAACAAACAGGAAGTTGCTTAAATGTTATCATCCTGCCCAAACTACTGATTTATTCAGATATTTATATCCCACTTTTCCCTGTGACTCAAGGCAGCTTACAAATCATACTGAAAAGTATAATAGGGGTGTGCAAAATAAAATCGGTGATCAACTGTAGCCTATGGGGACCATTACAGTCAAAGGGCCCCATAGGCTACAATGGAAGAAGAAGAAGAGATTGGATTTATACCCAGCCCTTCACTACCCAAAGGTGTCTCAGAGCGGCTTACAAACTCCTTTCCCCTCCCCTCCCCACAACAGACACCCTGTGAGGTAGGTGGGGCTGAGAGAGCTCTGACAGAAACGGCTCTTATCAGAACTACGGCTTGCCCAGGGTCATCCAGCCAGGTGCAAGTGGAGGAGTGGGGAATCAAACCCGCTTCTCCAAGATTAGAGTCCGCGCTCCTAACTACTATGCCAAGAAGAGGAAGAAGAAGAGAAGAGATTGGATTTATGCCCCGCCCTTCACTACCCAAGGGAGTCTCAGAGCGGCTTACAATCTCCTCTCCCTTCCCCTCCCCACAACAGACACCCTGTGAGGTAGGTGGGGCTGAGAGAGCTCTTGACAGAAACTGCTCTTTTTTCAAGGACAGCTCTTGTCAGAACTATGGCTTGCCCAAGGTCATCCAGCCAGGTGCGAGTGGAGGAGTGGGGGAATCAAACCCAGTTCTCCCAGATTAGAGTCCGCGCACTTAACCACCACACCAAACTGGCTCGATTCAGGGGTATCTGGGGCTCGGGGGGTTGGGGTTGGGTAGAGGCACCAAATTTGCAGCATACAGAAGGAGGAGAAGACCTGGATTTATACCCCGCCCTTCATTCGGAGTCTCGGAACGGCTTACAATCTCCTTTCCCTTCTCCTCCCCACGACAGACGCCCTGTGAGGCAGGTGGGGCTGGGAGCGCTCTCTTGAGGACTACCCTTGAGACAACAGCTCTGAGAGAACTTTTAACTGACCCAAGGCCACGCCAGCAGCCCCATGTGGAGGAGTGGGGGAATCAAACCCTGTTCCCCCAAATCAGAGTCTGCCGCTCCTAACCACTATACCAAACTGGCTATACCAAACCACCACACCAAACTTACACAGCCAATCACTTTTCTGGGGGGCCAATCAGAAGCCTTGCTGAGTGGCAGCCACCTGGCCACACCCACTTTCTAAAAACACTAGGCAGGCTCCAAGAAAGGGGTCAGCGGTTGCTATGGCAAGGGTCGCCAGGTATTACCTGGCTGCTGGTGGTGGGGATCCGGCCCGGGTCCCTGAAGTTTCTGGCACGTGCACCACAATGACATCACCCGGAAGTGACGTCATCGCCCCGGGCATGTCGTGCAGTGGACGCGCTAGCATTGGACCAAAAAACTCTATGGTCACCACAGAGTTCTCAGCCAAATGCTAGAGCATCCCCCACGCCACATGCCCCGCGTGATGAACTCACCTCTGGGTGATGTCACTGCAGCCAGGGCTCTTTTTGTAGCAGGAACTCCTTTGCATATTAGGCCACACACCCTTAATGTAGCCAATCCTGCAAGAGCTTACAGAGCTCTTCTTACAGGGGCTACCGTAAGCTCTTGGAGGATTGGCTACATTAGGGGTGTGTCACTTAATATGCAAATGAGTTCCTGCTACAAAAAGAGCCCGATTGCACCCAGCAAATCGGGTGCGAAGGGGCTCATTGAGGGTGGGGCTTGCTGTTGGCAGACTGGGGGCCCTGAAAGGAGGGGGGAAGCTATGGCGCCCAGGGGGCACCGTGTCGGGGACCCCTGGTCTAGGCAGGCAAGAGAAGGGAGGCACCCCACAGACTTACAGCCAGGGCTTGGATTTTCTCAAAGACAAGGTTCGTTTTCCTCTTCACGGAGCTTTCGCTTTCTGTGCTCCTGAAAGACAAAAAGCGGAGAGGTCATCACTGCCACAGGAGGTGGTGGCGGCTACAAGCATGGACGGCTTCAAGAGGGAATTAGATAAGCATATGGAGCAGAGGTCCATCAGTGGCTATTAGCCACAAGGGATAGATAGGGGCTCTGGGGCAAGTGATGCTCTGTCATCTTGGTGCTTGGGGGGGGGGGCAACAGTGGGAGGACTTCTAATGTCCTGGCCCCACTGCTGGACCTCCTGATGGCACCTGGTATTTCTGGCCACTGTGTTGGACTGGATGGGCCTTTGGCCTGATCCAACATTGGCATCTCTTATGTTCTTATGTTCTTAAGAGTGACCATCTGCACCCCACGAATCAGGTGGCAAACACCCCCCAGAATGCCTGCATGATTCCCCCACCCGCTGCTTCCACCCGCCTCCCAGCATGTACCTTACCCATGGCAGCTTTTGACATGACCAGTGTTCCCTCTGAGCTGAGTCAGTGTGAGCTAGCACACAGTTTTTTAGCCTCTGGCACACACATTTTTGCCTTGGCTCAGGAAGGATGGCTCCAGAGCAAACTAAGTGATGCAGCAGCCAAATCGCTCACTCACAACTTCAATGCCAGTAGCTCACAAAGTAGGATTTTTGCTCACGAGACTCCACAGCTTAGAGGGAACATTGGACGTGACCCCTTAGTCTCCTCCCTAGTTGAAACGAAACCTAGGCTCGCACAACCGGCTTCAACGCAGCGCCTTCTCCCATTCCCCCCTCCCTCCCCTGTCTTTATCAGCTCAAATTGTTGACTGTAAGCGCCTCAGGGCAGGGAACCTGCACTTATGAACGCGTAACATACGCACGGATGATGCCGCATGAATGATAAATTAATAAAAGCCAGGTTAAAAGATATGTCTGCTGACTACGCTGGCTACAAAGCGGAATTACTTTTATTTTTTTTAGGTATTCGTATGTACCCTGCCTTTCTCTCCAAGGGGGACTCAGAGCGACTCACATAGTTCTCCTTTGTCCTCCGCTTTCTCCTCACGACAACCCTGTGAGGTGGGTTAGGCTGAGAGCGTGACTGACCCGACGTGACCCAGCAGGCTTTCATGGCACGAGTGGGAATTCGAACCCGGGTCTCCCAGATCTTAGTCCAAAACTCTTAACCACTACAACTGCCTCGGGGGGGAAATGCTGGAATATCTCCCCCCCAAACACACACTTTGTGGCAACTGGCAACCTTCTGAAGGCGACAACAGGAAGCGGGACATACTCCTACAGAAGCCTTAACACTTCCCAGTTTTCCATCTTTCAGCTGGAATAAGTTCCATAACCACATCTGCAGTTGGTGGTAGGCCAATGGAGAATCCAAACCTTTAAGGTGAGAAAGGCAGGGAAAGGCTAGGGAGACCACATTACAACCTACCCACCATCTGAGGTCCCCAACCAAGAATTTCCTGCAAATCCCAGAACATCAGAAGAGCCCTGCTGGATCAGACCAGTGAGGGTCCATCTAGTCCAGCATCCCGTCTCACACAGTGGCCAACCAGTTTCTCTGGAAGGCCAACAACAGGGCAGAGAGGCCGAGGCCTTCCCCTGAGAAGAGCATCCGAAGAGCCCTGCTGGGTCAGACCAGTGAGGGTATATCTAGTCCAGCATCCCGTCTCACACAGTGGCCAACCAGTTTCTCTGGAAGGCCAACAACAGGGCAGAGAGGCCGAGGCCTTCCCCTGAGAAGAGCATCCGAAGAGCCCTGCTGGGTCAGACCAGTGAGGGTATATCTAGTCCAGCATCCCGTCTCACACAGTGGCCAACCAGTTTCTCTGGAAGGCCAACAACAGGGCAGAGAGGCCGAGGCCTTCCCCTGAGAAGAGCATCCGAAGAGCCCTGCTGGGTCAGACCAGTGAGGGTATATCTAGTCCAGCATCCCGTCTCACACAGTGGCCAACCAGTTTCTCTGGAAGGCCAACAACAGGGCAGAGAGGCCGAGGCCTTCCCCTGAGAAGAGCATCCGAAGAGCCCTGCTGGGTCAGACCAGTGAGGGTATATCTAGTCCAGCATCCCGTCTCACACAGTGGCCAACCAGTTTCTCTGGAAGGCCAACAACAGGGCAGAGAGGCCGAGGCCTTCCCCTGAGAAGAGCATCCGAAGAGCCCTGCTGGGTCAGACCAGTGAGGGTATATCTAGTCCAGCATCCCGTCTCACACAGTGGCCAACCAGTTTCTCTGGAAGGCCAACAACAGGGCAGAGAGGCCGAGGCCTTCCCCTGAGAAGAGCATCCGAAGAGCCCTGCTGGGTCAGACCAGTGAGGGTATATCTAGTCCAGCATCCCGTCTCACACAGTGGCCAACCAGTTTCTCTGGAAGGCCAACAACAGGGCAGAGAGGCCGAGGCCTTCCCCTGAGAAGAGCATCCGAAGAGCCCTGCTGGGTCAGACCAGTGAGGGTATATCTAGTCCAGCATCCCGTCTCACACAGTGGCCAACCAGTTTCTCTGGAAGGCCAACAACAGGGCAGAGAGGCCGAGGCCTTCCCCTGAGAAGAGCATCCGAAGAGCCCTGCTGGGTCAGACCAGTGAGGGTATATCTAGTCCAGCATCCCGTCTCACACAGTGGCCAACCAGTTTCTCTGGAAGGCCAACAACAGGGCAGAGAGGCCGAGGCCTTCCCCTGAGAAGAGCATCAGAAGAGCCCTGCTGGATCCGACCAGGGGCCCATCTAGTCCAGCATCCTGTCTCACACAGGGGCCAGCCAGTTCCTCTGGAGGGCCGACAACAGGGCAGAGAGGCTGAGAACCTATGAAGCGGCTTAACTCCACCAGACAGGGGAGGGGCCGTGGCTCAGTGGCAGAGCATCTGCTTGGAAGGCGGAGGACCCCAGGTTCAATCCCCGGCATCTCCAGTTAAAGGATATGTCAGGCAATGATGTGAAAGACCTCAGCCTGGGACCCTGGAGAGCCCCTGCTGGACTGAGGAGACAATGCTGAGCGGAATGGACAAAGGGTCTGATTCAATAAAAGGCAACTTTATGTGTTCATCGCTCGGGACCAGTGATGGTGATGAAGCATTAGCCAACGTCAAAGATACAGTTGGTGGGCTGCAGGGAAGTTTACATTCAAGAAGGCGAGAGGCTGTGGCTCAGTGGTAGAACGTTTGCTTGGCATGCAGGAGGTCCCAGGTTCAATCCCCAGAAGCATCTCCAGTTTAAAAAGGACCAGGCAGGAGGTGATGGGAAAGACCTCTGCCTGAGACCCTGGAGAGCTGTAAAGAGGGGCTGTGGCTCAGTGGCAGAGCCTCTGCTTGGCATGCAGAAGGTCCGAGGTTCAATCCCCAGTTTCTCCAGTTAAAAGGACCAAGCAGGAGGAGATGGGAAAGGCCTCCACCTGAGACCCTGGAGAGCTGTAAAGAGGGGCCCGTGGCTCAGTGGAAGAGCCTCTGCTTGGCATGCAGGAGGTCCCAGGTTCACTCCCCGGCATCTCCAGTTAAAAGGACCAGGCAGGAGGTGATGGGAAAGACCTCCGCCTGAGAGCCTGGAGAGCTGTAAAGAGGGGCTGTGGCTCAGTGGAAGAGCCTCTGCTTGGCATGCAGAAGGTCCCAGGTTCAATCCCCGGCATCTCCAGTTAAAAGGATCAGGAGGTGGTGGGAAAGACCTCCGCCTGAGACCCTGGAGAGCTGTAAAGAGGGGCTGTGGCCTGCATCTGCTCGGCCTGCAGAAGGTCCCAGATTCAATTCCCAGAAGCATCTCCAGTTTAAAAAGGACCATGTATGAGGTGACGGGAAAGGCCTCCGCCCGAGACCCTGGAGAGTGGCTGCCGGTCTGAGTAGACAAGACGGACTCAGACGGACCGATGGTCGGGTTCGGTATAAGGCAGCTTCCTGTGTCCATGTCTCAATGAGCCCCATATTGACTGACTCTCTAAGGTCAAAGTCTTCCGTAGCCCGGCTATCCAAGACACTGGGGACTGAACCTGTCACTTTCTGCATAAAAACAAAAAAAGACATTACAGGAACCTCCGCTTGGCTGCCAAGGGCTGCAAGCAGTCCTAAAAGTTAGCACCGAAAAGTCAGGCCATGCCCTCCTCTATCCTGGCCCCCAAACACTCACCCGTCCTTCAGAATCCCGTAGATCAGCGCCTTCGTGTGCTCGCTGCTCCCCGGCTGAGAGAGCTCCCGTTGGTCCTTCAGAAGGTCCGGGGTAGACTTTAGCTGCAAGAAAGAGGTGAGTGTGAGCCGTAGCTGGGGGAGGGAAGCCAATGTTGGATCAGGCCAAAGGCCCATCGAGTCCAACACTCTGTGTCACACAGTGGCCAAAAATACCAGGGGCCATCAGGAGGTCCACTAGTGGGGCCAGAACTCCAGAAGCCCTCCCACCGTTGCCCCACAAGCACCAAGAAGACAGAGCATCACTGCCCCAGACAGAAGAACACAAGAGAAGCCATGTTGGATCAGGCCAGTGGCCCATCCAGTCCAACACTCTGTGTCCCACAGTGGCCAAAGATACCAGGGGCCACCAGGAGGTCCACCAGTGGGGCCAGGACTCCAGAAGCCCCTCCCACTCTTGCCCCCCTCCCAAGCTCCAATCACTATTTTGGGATCCAGAAGGGATTTTTCTCCGGGCCAGATTAGCCCAAGGACCCTGCAGGATTTTTGCTGTCATCTGGGCATGCGGCAGGGGTCCTGCATCGTGTGGCGGGATGGACTAGATGACCCTTGGGGATCCCTTCCAGCTTTATGTTTCTGTGTCTTACAGAAATCTTGACTGGTAGTCATTTTAGTCTGTCTGCAGCCGTAGAAAAACAGCAAGAGTCCAGTAGTCTTTAAAGTGCTACTGGACTCCTGCTCTTTTCTACTGTTGCAGAAATCTTATCGCATTACAGGTATTACAATCCCTTTAGATCCATGGTAGCAGTACTTAGGCCCCGGTCACACGGCCAGATAACGCGGGGGGGGTGGGGGGAGGCGTGGCTGTTTGCCCCGGAGCAAAATAAAGCGCGGTAGCCCAATCACACGGCCCCAAGTCTCCATGCTTCGGCTGTTAGCTGGTGATCACACGGCGATGCTGCAGCGTGGCAAAGAAGCGGCACGGCGCGATCACGCACACGTTTCGCGTTTGTGTGCATGCGCAGTTCTGCGGAGCAGCACTACTTTCAGTTCAGTGTCTGTGCGCATGCACTAATGGAAAACATCCGGTTTGCAACGGGACGTGGGCGGGCGCCGGATGCCACGGGATACTAGCGCTCCCACTATCAGACGCCCGCCTGTGCCGCGCGTTTTCCAGATACTAGTGCACTTTCCTTGATATTTTTTCGCTCCGCATCTTCGGCGGGACGCCACAGGTTGGCCATGGGTGCACTACACTTCCCAGATGTTGCGGTGTGATGGCGCCCCAAAAATCCACCCGACATTCGTGCCTTTCACGCGGCAAATTCTCCGTGTGACCGGGGCCTTAGACTAGTTAATGATATAGTCCAAAAAGTCTGTAGAAGGATGATTCTTGGCATGGCTACAACTGCAAAACTGTCACCAGCAACCAGACTGGAAAACTAGCAAATATCGCACAGTCGAATTTGGGACTCAAAATGCCTGGGGAGCTGCAGAGCTATCGAAACTGTCAGCACTTGTTCAGCTAAGAGACGGTCATATTAAAAATAGCGTATCTTTCTTGACGGCTGGAAGCCCTTTTCTGAAATCTAGGGGGAGGGATTGAATGTAACATTAGACTCGTATGATCGGTCCTCACTTTGATGTTAATTGTCATCGTAATTGCCATGAGAGCCAGTGGGGTGTTGCTGTTAAGAGCGGCGGACTCTAACCTGGGAGAAGCGGGTTTGATTCCCCACTCCTCCTCCACGTGAAGCCTGCTGGGTGACCTTGGGCCGATCACAGTTCTCTCAGAGCTCTCTCAGTCCCACCCACCTCACAGGGTGCCTGTTGTGGAGAGGGGAAGGGAGAGGCGATTGTAAGCCGCTTTGGGACTCTTTAAGATTAAAAAAAAGCAGGGTATAAAAATCTACTCTTCATCTTCTTCCACATATAAATGATTTTGAATTTAAATTTTGTATTTGTGAACTCATACGGAGAGGGAAGGCGGCCTGGTATAGCTTGATTTTGTCAGATCTCAGAAGCTAAGTAGGATTGGTACTTAATGGGAGACCACCAAGGAAGTCTCAGCAGAGGAAGGCCATGGCCAACCACCTCTGCTTCTCCCTTGCCTTGGAAGCCCCTTGCTGGGGTCACCATAAGTCTAAGCTAAGCAGGGTCAGTGCTTGAATGGGAGACCACCAAGGAAGCCTCTGCAGAGGAAGGCCATGGCCAACCACCTCTGCTTCTCACTTGCCTTGAACGCCCCTTGCTGGAATCACCATAAGTCTAAGCTAAGCAGGGTCAGTACTTGAATGGGAGGCCACCAAGGAAGGCTCTGCAGAGGAAGGCCATGGCCAACCACCTCTGCTTCTCACTTGCCTTGAACGCCCCTTGCTGGAATCACCATAAGTCTAAGCTAAGCAGGGTCAGTACTTGGATGGAAGGCCACCAAGGAAGTCTCAGCAGAGGAAGGCCATGGCCAACCACCTCTGCTTCTCCCTTGCCTTGAAAGCCCCTTGCTGGAATCACCGTAAGTCTAAACTAAGCAGGGTTAGGTACTTGGATGAGAGACCACCAAGGAAGGCTCTGCAGAGGAAGGCGATGGCAACCCGCCCTCTGCTTCTCCCTTGCCTTGGAAGCCCCTTGCTGGGGTCACCATATGTCTAAGCTAAGCAGGGCTGGTACTTGGAAGGGAGACCACCAAGGAAGGCTCTGCGGAGGAAAGCCATGGCCAACCACCTCTGTTTCTCCCTCTCCTGGAAAGCCCCTTTACAATATTGCAATGATTGTAATTGTTTTTGTTAAGGGCGAGCTGTTTCAAGCTGAAGCAGACGATCTGATTGGACACTGCATAGTTATTTCCCCCCCTTTTTAAAATAAAAATTATATTTAAAAAATGAGACAGGGTGAAAAGTCTAATAAAAGAATTAGCTGCTTTTTTTTTCTTAAAGCAAGTTTGCATTCCTTGCTTAAGAAGTCGGGAGGGAGGGAGCTTGAAAGTAATGCCACAGACGTCTGAAGACCGGCATCGCCCAAATCCATCTTTTCCACAGCCCCAATTGCGATGCGCACAGTCGACGGTAAACAGGCTTATCTCCACTAACACTGCATGCAAAACGGTCGCTCTGCCCACGGGCTTCCTCATCCCTACGTGAGAAACTCTGGGCTGGCAGGACTACGGGAGGTAGGACAGAAAAGATTAGGATTAACAAGACAGGCTCTCGCCGGAGGAGAAATTACCTGCAGGTCTGGCTGCACTTTGCTCAGCGGCTTGTCCATCGCCGGCTCCTCCAGGCTCTTATCGACCCACTCCCGGGTCAGTCTGGACTTGTCCACCCCGTTCTCTTTTGGCTGCGGCCCGGCGGCCGAGCTGCGGCTCCGGTTTCCCGTCGGGCCGGCCGAGCCGAGCGGCTTGGCCGTCGAAGCCACGGGCCCGCCTCCGAAGCTCGCCTGGCGCCCGCCGACGTCTAGCTCCCGACAGTCCACCATGTCGTGGTACGGCGCCCTTCCGTCCAGGCTCTGCGAGCGCTTCCGGTCCTCCGGGAAGACCCGGCTCCTCCGGGAGGCCCTGCCTCTATGCGTGGCCTTCCCGTCGAACTTGTTGATCAGGGAGTCCACCGAAGACAGCGGCTTGGTGTCGATGTCGCCCGCACCGCCACTGCCACCACCCTCGTTCGCCGGCGGGGGCAGAGACGGCTCCTCCGCCTCCAGCAACGGCTGCTTGCTGACGGGCCGCAGACCGGAGACGCTGCCGACTCCGTCTCTCGGGCTGGGCGCTCGCCTGCCGGCGAGGTTCATCATGCTGGCGCTCCTCGCGGTTCTCCCCGTGGGGGGCGGCTGGGAAGCGTGGGTGGGCCGAGCGCTGGGCGGGCTGGGCACGCGGGGCTCCTCCGAATCGGGGCTCGGCAAGGAGCTGTGAGACTGAGTCCTCCGCAGCTGATCCCCGAAGGACTTTTTGTGGGGTAACGTCCTGCAGCCGCCGCCGCCCCGGGGACGGGAGGACCCGTTGCTCTGACAGGAGGAGGCCGTCTCCAGGCTGTCCGATTTCGGCACCCGGGTGCAGCGCCTCGGGCCCTGCTCCTCGTCGGACGTGCTGTACTGGGAGCCGGAGCGAGGCAGTTTTGCTCCATACGGGTTCTCCGGGAGATCGGAGTCCGAGCTGATGGATCCCGAGGCATCCTTGGATGACGACGCCGTGCCAGGGGAACCCAGGAAGGGCTCCTCGGGCTGCTGGTTCCGGGCCGGCGCCCCGTATTTGCTCTCGCCTTTGATCTGCACCCCGAAAGAGTCCCCGCCTTTCTCCCCGCTGTTGAGGACCACGAACGGCTGCCCGTCGATGCCCTGGACCCGCACGGCCACGCCGTAAGAACCCGGCTTGGCGGCCTTGGGGCGGATCTTCTGGGACTTGCTGGGCTCCTTCAGGTCGTCGATGAACCGGATCTGGACCCCGTAGTCGATGGGGCTGTGCTTCTCGGCCATGACGCCGTTCACCTGGTGGTCCATTCCCCGTGGGATGGAGTTCTGAACGGGTCCTGCAAAAGGGAACAGAGAGAGGGAGATATATATATATATATCACACACTTGGGATAAGACTAGAGACGTGAAGGCCCGGAAAAAAAACCCGTAAAAATTAAGGAAAAACCCGTTCTTTTCCTGATTTCCCCCTGAAGCCTTTTTTTGGTTTTCCCCCCGAAAAATTGGAAAAATTGAAAAAAGAAAAGAAAAAAAATTGATTATGGAACGTTTTATTTTAACATGATGGATAAAATATTTTAAGACGAGGTGTTCAAATATGTTCCAAATCATTTCTAAATATATATATATATATATGGTATCAGACTGATCTGATTTCTGTGCACTGAGGACAAGCAAGTCCTAGGTTACAAACTGAACTCTCCAACGCAAGAACAAGATGCATTTCTTCCTTTAGGAGGCGCTATTGTCACAAGAAAAGAAAAAGGTCTCAGTTTTGTTTTTGCATGTAGGTGGGTATTCTGTTCGTAATAATTGTTTGGATACACTATGTTTTTAATAGGCTAGTTGCGATCATTTCATGCCAAGTAAAAATGTTCAGAGTCATCTTTTATGTTCCTAAAGTAACAGGATGACAGAAAAAAGAAGTGCTAATGTAGCATTTTTTTTCCAATTTTTCCAAAAATGTCTGGTTTCCCCTGGAAAAAAATGGAAAAAACCTGGGTTTTTTCCGAGCTTCAAAATTTCCAGAAATTTTACATCTCTAGATAACACCACTGTACTGCGACTGCGAGAGCCTGCCTGCAGCAAAAGGGACAGGGACAAGATTGCCTAACGGGTAGAGCGCCGCTCTCCAGGCAGCAGACAGAGAATGTGCAGTATTTTAGAGACAGGGCTGATTCTGAAAGCCTCATGGAGCAAGTGGCCAGCCGGCCAACAGGAGAGATGGCTAGCCGGCCCACATTTGTGGGCTGGCTAAGGGGCAGAGATCGGCACACGTGACAGCCAGTGTTCCCTCTAAGCTGAGTTAGCCTCCCGCTCACAAATGTTTGTCCTAGCTCAGGAAGAACGGCTCCAGAGCAAACTAATTTATGCAGGAGCCAAATTGCTTGCTCACAACTTTAACGCCAGTAGCTCACAAAATAGAATTTTTGCTCACAAGACTCCACAGCTTAGAGGGAACATTGGTGACAGCCTAGCCAAAGATCATGCTCAAAGGCCTAGGATGCTAAAGAAGAAAAGAGGGACAGGTACAATTGCAAATTAGTCCCGGGGTCTCAGCTGAGCATCTACGTCCAGGAACAGTGTATCACTGAAGAACGGGGACAGGTACAATGACCAATTAGTCATGGGGTCTCAGTTGAGCATCTGTGATATGCTGTTCCTGAACATAGATGCTCAACTGAGAGCCCATGTCTAATTGGTCATTGTATCTGTCCCCGTTCTTCAATGATATACTGTTCCTGAACATAGATGCTCAGCTGAGACCCCGTGACTAACTGGTCATTGTACCTGTCCCCGAGAGCCAGTTTGGTGTAGTGATTAGGAGCGCAGATTCTAATCTGGGAGAAACAGGTTTGATTCACAGAAGAAGAGATTGGATTTATGCCCCGCCCTTCACTACCCGAAGGAGTCCCAGATCAGCTTACAATCTCCTTTCCCTCCCCCTCCCCACAACAGACACCCTGTGAGCAGTGTTCCCTCTAAGCTGGGTTACTGTGAGCTAGCTCACAGTTTTTTAGCCTCCGGCTCACAGATTTTTGTCTTAGCTCAGGAAGGATGGCTCCAGGGCAAACTAATTTATGCAGTAGCCGAATCGCTCACTCACAACTTTAATGCCAGCAGCTCACAAAGTAGAATTTTCGCTCACAAGACTCCACAGCTTAGAGGGAGCATTGCCTGTGAGGTAGGTGGGGCAGAGAGAGCTCTCTCGAGGACTGCCCTTGAGAGAACAGCTCTGAGAGAACTTGTGACTGACTCAAGGTCACACCAGCAGCTGCATGTGGAGGAGTGGGGGAATCAAACCCGGTTCTTCCAGATTAGAGTCCGCGCTCCTAATCACTACACCAAACTGGCTCTAGGGGACAGGTACAATCAATGTTCCCTCTTAAGCTGTGGAATCCTGTGAGCAAAAATTCCACTTTGTGAGCTACTGGCATTAAAATTGTGAGCAAGTGATTCGGCTACTGCATAAATTAGTTTGCTCTGGAGCCATCCTTCCCGAGCTGAGACAAAAATGTGTGAGCCGGAGGCTAAAAAACTGTGAGCTAGCTCACACTAACTCAGCTTAGAGGGAACACTGGGTACAATTACCGATTAGACATGGGGCTCTCAGTTGAGCATCTATGTTCAGGAACAGCATATCACTGAAAAACGGGGGCAGGTACAATTACCGATTAGACATGGGGTCTCAGTTGAGCATCTATATCCAGGAACAGTGTATCAGTGAGTTAGGATTAGGGTTAGGGTTGGGCACAGCTACCAATTAGTCATGAGGTGTCAGTTGAGCATCTGTATTCAGGAGCAGTGTATCACGAAGTACCACCTGCTGAGCCAGACGACAGGAGAGGGCCATTCCGTTCATCGTCTGCTAAGGGGCTTGCTAAGGTTATAACATGATCCGGCATGCTATAAAGAGCTAGAGTCGGTGTTACAGGAGGAAGGGGAAAGGTGTCTTTCCTTGCTGGACCAAGAGTTTCCTCTCAGACCAAGGCTTTCCTGGAAAGCACCCCGGTAACCAACTGCCACCACTCACAGGGCTTCTTGAGAACGTCTAGACTGACCTGCTGAGAAAGTATCCTTCTAGCGCAGTACTAGAACAATAATGAAGCAACTGGGTAGAAACTATGAAGAATACTTTATAACAACCTATGCAGTGTCGTGGCACTTGGGGAAGAAATTAAGAAAAATACCCCAGAGAAGTAAATCGCACTGAGCAAAGCCAAAAAAAAAAAGGTCTTTATATTAAAGGATATGTGTTTGTTATAAAGCTTATAGAAAGGAAAAGGGGTGGTTGGGTTCAAAAACTCATGGAAAAAGGGCAGAACCAAATGCAGGGAAGAGACACGCAGCACGGAGGTTTTCAACTGAACAGCAATAAAGTTGGACTAACACAGCTACGTAAAACAAAGTTTGAGTCCAGGGGGCACCTTTAAGACCAACAAAGGTTTATTCAAGGTACGAGCTTCCGTGTGCATGCCCACTTTTTCAAATACGTTGGAATGGGAGGTAGAATTCACACTCATAGACAGAGGCTGAGCAGCAAATTAACATGTCACATAATGAAGATAAATTAAGATATGAAGAAGAAGAAGAGATTGGATTTATACCCCGCCCTTCACTACCCGAAGGAGTCTCAGAGCGGCTTACAAACTCCTCTCCCTTCCCCTCCCCACAACAGACACCCTGTGAGGTAGAAGAAGAAGAAGAAGAGATTGGATTTATACCCCACCCTTCACTACCCGAAGGAGTCTCAGAGCGGCTTACAAACTCCTTTCCCTTCCCCTCCCCACAACAGGCACCCTGTGAGCAATGTTCCCTCTAAGCTATGGAGTCTTGTGAGCAAAAAATCTACTTTGTGAGCCACTGGCATTAAAGTTGTGAGCAAGCAATTTGGCTACTGCATAAATTAGTTTGCTCTGGATCTATCCTTCCTGAGCTAAGACAAAAAGGTGGGAGCTGGAGGCTAAAAAACTGTGAGCTAGCTCACACTAACTCAGCTTAGAGGGAACATTGCCTGTGAGGCAGGTGGGGCTGAGAGAGCTCTTTTAAGAACTGCCCTTGAGAGAACAACTCTGAGAGAACTTGCGACTGACCCAAGGTCACACCAGCAGCTGCATGTGGAGAAGTGGGGAATCAAACCCGCTTCTCCCAGATTAGAGTCCGCGCTCCTAACAACGACACCAAACCGCAAAGACAAAACTAAATAACGAGCCAAGGCTATAAGGTCAAACAGTTGTCTTGATTTAATTAAAGGGGGGAAACGACCGCAAAGGAATAAATATGCCAAAATCAGGGATAAAATGCTTAAAGGCATATTTTCTAATTATGGGAAGTAATATGAAACTCCCCATTTGTTTCCTCACAGGCCTGGACGTAACTTAACAGCATTTTTTCCCTTTCTCTTTTTGAGGCGGGCGCAGTGGTATGTCAGCAAAACATTCCAATATTCCTCGCTACCTACACATCACCCCCAGGCCAGTGATGGCGAACCTTTTAGAGACCGAGTGCCCAAACTGCGACCCAAAACCCACTTATTTATCGCAAAGTGCCAACACGGCCATTTAACACCTGAATGCTGAGGTTTTACTTTAGAAAAAACAACTCATACGTTAACTTAAGATGATCCAAACAAAGTCAGGAAAGCGATCCCAAATGCTTTCATTGACTTAAAATTATTTGGCAGAGAATTCGACACTTTAATGATGGTCAGGGCCTGGCTGGGGCGATGGCACGCGTGCCCACAGAGAGGGCTCTGAGTGCCACCTCTGGCACCCGTGCCATAGGTTCGCCACCACTGCTCTAGGCCGTCGCAGGGTCCTTGGCTCCTGCGTAGAGTCTTTTCCCAGCAACAAGACGTAACAATCTGACTACAGAGATCTAAGTTCCGTTTCCCACTCAACTCACCGAACGGTCCCGGGTCGGGCACTTGGTCAGCCTAACCAACCTCACAGGATATGTTGTGAGGATAAAATAGAAGAAGACGACGACGACGAAGAAGAAGATGAAGAAGACTAAGAAGACGAAGAAGCAGCAGCAGCACCACCACCCCACCCTTCACTCGGGGTCTCAGAGCGGCTTACAATCTCCTTTCCCTCCCCCTCCCCACAACAAGACACCCGGTGAGGCAGGTGGGGCTGAGAGAGCTCTTTCAGGGACTGCCCCTGAGAGAGCAGCTCTGAGAGAACTTGTGACTGACCCAAGGTCACCTGGCTGGATCTATGTGGAGGGGTAGGGAATCAAGCCAGTTGGGTGTAGTGGTTAAGTGCGC